AAGAAATCATAACCACTACATGAATTTATAATAACAGGATTTTTTTTGAGGTAAATTCTTCTATGGAGTAAGAGATACACTTTTAGTGCTAGCTTAAATTTTTTGTTTCCTGATTTAGACTGTTTATAGTAGGGCGAAAATCGCTGAACAGCCTAATTCTAATACAGTATACTCCATTTTGATATTTGCAGAGGTCAGTGTGGCACATGAAAGTTATATCTGTATCTTGCACTTATGTTATGGATATCTGAGTTTGTTTGAAAATTTTCTATGTTGTCTACAACGAATGATAATAATGAGTGGCGGAATGCGCTGGCAAGTGAAAGAATATTAAGTTTCTTAAACAATTCCTTACATGAGGCTCTCCCTTTAGCACCTGCCACTATGCTAATGATTTTATTTTGGGTGTAAAATACTTTTTCTTGTCTGTTAACTTCACTCAGAAAGTAATTCTATAAGACATGATTGAATGGAAGTAAGAAAAGTAGACTAATTTTAAAGGGTTTTTTTTCATGAGTATTGTGACAGTCATAGTAAAGCATGCTGAGAGTTTAGACATCATGTATTGAATGTGTGTTCTCCAATTTAAGTTACTGTCAATTTATAGGCCAAGAAATTTATTTGTTTCTACTTCTTCAATTGTTTTATCCCCATACTGTATAACTAGTTTAACACAGTTGTTGTTAGTAGTACAAAATTTCATGAAATTTGTTTTGTCAAAATGTATTATGAGTTTATTGGCTTTAATCCACCTGTTGAAGCTAGCAAAGCCATAATTCATACAAATTAAAATGTGAAGAGATTTTGCAAATTACCAGGACAGAATGGCGATTTAGATTGGCTTCATAAATATTTACTTGATCCCTGGATATCGCATATTCAAATGTGGTACATGATATAATGTTACTTCTGCCATGAACTTATTTTGTCAATGAAATTACAGCAGATTGGTTTGTATAATATTCTTAATGAAGTTTCATATTGAAAAAACATTTTGTTCTTGAAATTGTTTTCTTTTCAATATCTGAAATTGTATGCATATAATAGTTATTAATATCCATTAATTTAATTTGACACATTTTTCACCAAAACAAAAGTTTGAAGAGAAAAACATAAATTGATTGCAAATTATTTTATCTTGATAGCATTTTCTCTTATAGAAATGAATGGGAAATAAAACTGTTCTGTATAAGTAGATTTTTGTGTAAATTATCATTTAGACAGCATATCAGGTGGCAAGAGCTTTTTCAGGAGACTTATGTACTATGTATGTGGAAGATGAGTGTAAACATTTTTCTGCTCATGTTTTGTGTTCCATATTCAGGCATTGGAAAATTAACTTTGTATAGCTGCAAGTGAAATTTGTTTAAATAAAATGAGCCAAATTTGCTAATGCATGTATCATAAGGAATTTTGAATTTACATGCTTTATCCTGTTTACAGCTTAAGAGATGTGTGTGATTTATAATCATTTATTTATTTTCAGACCTCGAACTGTAGAGGAAGAAAGCCATGGATATCCTGAGATTATTTGGACGTACAGTCCGTATCATTCATTCTTCACGCACATATATGATGATGAATCTAAGTTTCATGAAATCTTTGAACCTGATTCCACACAGGTTAGTAATGATTTTAGATAGCCCTCTCATTCATGTTCATTGAGATACTTGTGTTGATTTACCTTCTCAGTAAGCTTATAAGTTTACAATGAACTGAAAAGGAAACAATATTCCATCTGTGTGAAATATTTATGTCTCAGTTCAGATAATAATTGATAAACTGTTAAAGTTATCATGCATTTTTTGCATGAAATGAGCACATATAGGTCTGGTCATGGCTGTCTGACCTCATGATTCAAGTTGAGATTTACTGGACGAATTTGGTATGGGTATTATGTCATGGTTCATATACAGGTCAGTCCATATGGGATTTATGAATTTGTGGTATAAAAAGTGGCAGTGGGACAGTTTTTTCTTTGAGTTCTTTGGTTTTCACCTGTCAGTATTATTACACGACTGCTCTGTATTTACTCGTGTTATCTGCGGGATGGACAGTGGGCCTGTTACCAGCCCAGTTACCCAGACGTAGTTTAACCTCATCACAGCAAAAAAGGATGGGGAGAGCTCCATGCATTGTTGTGCATACCGAATGTAAGTTTGGTGATTGCATGGGGTGGGGGCAGATAGCATGTGCAGGAGATGTGAAAAATGTGTATACAATTTGTGTGTAGTAAGCTCAATAGAAAAAGTACACTCGGAAAGCCATGTTTCTAAGGGTTACTGTTTTTCTTTTGTCTCATTTAGTCTTAGTTTTTAACTTCCAACATTAACATTGAATCACTGTGAAAGCTTAAAATCATTTGTTGCAGTTGCTACAGGGAAGTGTACATTGGGATGTACAGTCACATTATGATTATGATTGTTTGATTCCGGAGACCCTAATTTAGACCTCTTTCTGATCATCTCTCCCAGTTTAACTTTAGTTTTTAGTTATATAATTTTGCATACATGAGCGACTCTTACAGGAAATTAATTTTGCAGTAAAATAAGAAGGAAACAATAGAGGTTTGTTAATTCAGATCAACATATGTTGAAAATACATTCATTCTTGAGCTTCCTCTTTATTTTTCAGATTGACGTGTACATGTCAGTTGTCCACCCTTTAATTAGTGAAGTCCTTGCTGGGTATAACTGCACAGTTTTTGTTTATGGCAAAAGAGGCACAGGAAAAACATTTACAATGGAAGGACAGATATCAAATGAATCTCTTCCATGGAACACTGTAAGTATGTTTATATTTATCCTTCTGTTAGCCTACATTTCTTTTTTAAGGAAACAAAGGTTGATACCATTCAGTTTGTGTGTGTTCTTTCAAGTGTAGAACCATTTATTCAGTTCTGTAAAAACTGGGTGCCACCCCATATTTTGAATTTCTTTCAGTTACGATCAGACACACATCTTGTAATGTGGTGATACTAGTTTGACTTATTGTAGATTGCAAAGTGAAATATAGCAATTCTTAGAAATGATGAACAAAATCATCAGAGTTTGATGATGAAGAATAGGAATGTGATTTTCCATTTTTAGTGGTAGCAAGCAACACATGACGGTCTTAACATAGAAAATTCAAGTCAGGTAAAAACACAATGGCAATCATTTTCCATTTTTATTCATATTTTGTATTATTCTGACTTATTTCATATCCTAGTCTCATCTGACTAATTTATGGATCTGTGGAAATATTTCAGTTAATACTTTGGTTCTTCTGCATTCAGTGTCAACGTTGACAGGGCTCCAGAAAAGTTTCAAATGAAACTGATTGACCTTCATTGCAACAATGACTTGAAAAATAAATGTAGTTATGTTGTTGGTATAACTAAAGTGTATAAAATTGTTCTCAAATATAGGAATCATTTTGTCCTCACTGAGGCGTAATATGAAATAGATATTCCCTGAGACATTTTAATTGTGAGATATTACAAAATGTTTGATTGGAAACAAAAATATGCCCTAGAATTATGTAAGTAATATTAGGTTTATATGTTATTGATGTACTTAGACAAGGGACAATGTGCTCCATTCTGAATTATCATTTAAATAATTTTTAATGTTGATTAAGCATCTCTGAAAATATTTTATGCTGTTCTTTTCCTCACTCCACTACTTGTTTTGAATTGTCCTGTTCATACTCTGTATGTGTGTAGTGTATTTGTATGTACATGTGCATGTGTAAAAAATATGTTGGCTCTTCCATAGGACTCTATGCCAGGAATTATTCCTCGCAGCCTGAAGCATCTGCTCGCTGAAGTAAAAAGACAGGAAGTTGATCTTCCTGTCAGTGTATCTTACATAGAAGTCCATAAAGATAATCTTTATGATTTATTGCCGAGAAGTGGACCTTCAGAACTCAAGTATGATGGTGCTTCAGGAGTAATATGTATATCTTATGATTACAGAATTTCATTCTCTCCTAAACTTTATAGTTCTTATT